CGCGCCCCCCTGGGCACGAGGGGGACAAACGTAAGGCACAGCCCAACTTCCGTTGGTGCCCGGTGGGAGCAACCCAGCCCTGGCAGCCTCAGATGCCCCCCAAACCCAGGCACTCACCACTGGAGGGCGGCCCGGGGGGTCCTCTCCTCTTGTCCTTCGACATGAGCTGCTGCACTTTGATGTGTTCCCGATGCTCCTCCATCTCTGCTTCCTTGTGGATCTGGTCGATGGTTTTGGGGCCCTGGTCTCCTCGCCGCGGCACCCAGCTATTCTGCAGAGGGCAGGGAAGGAGGGAAGAGAGCACTGAGCTGGCTGGAGAAGAGAGCCAGAGACATTCCGCCTTCCCAGCTGTCCCACCCTCAAAGCCTCAAGCCAGTCTCCACCCTCAGCCACAGCTCCCCCTGTGCTGTGGCAGCTTTTGGCACAAAAGGGCTCAGTTTCTGGAGCTCCCCTGCATTAAACAGCCGCCAGTTACTGTGTGCCCACTACTAGTACCATGCTAGCCAAGGGCTGAGGGCTAGCATGGTGTCTCTGGGGCTGGCCACAGCTTGCTTACCCACCTCTCCCCTCCCAGGGACACGCAGAGGCCGCTGGCACTCAGAGGACACAGGCCAGCAGCTCCACGGGACCGAGCAGGGGACAGAGGACAGTCCCCAGGCAACAGCAGGCCGCACTCCTTACCCGTCTGAGGTCAATCACATCCTGCAGCATGAAACGGATTCGGGATGATGTCTTCTTCTCTTTGATAATCTTCTCCATCTGGTTGAAGTACTGGTCCATCCTGGGCTGTAGAGGGACAGAGTCACGGTCACATCCCTCCCAGAAGCAAGGACAGGGCAAGGCAAGGCAGGGCAGGGGGTACCTTGGCCTTCTCAAAGTCCAAGTCCTTCCCGATGGTGGTAAGCAGGCGGCAAAGGCACTCAAGAGACTCCTCATCATGGTTTTTGAGCAGCTTCACCACGCAGTCGTGCATGATGGCCTCCGTCAACATCTTCAACTTGAAGAGCTCCCCGATGAACTTGATGTTGCCCAGGGATCGCCGGCGGGCCTTGTCCCGCGCTTCCTCCAGCTCGTCCTTCATGCGCGCCTTCTCCTCAGGCTGCGGGGAGGGCACAGCAGGGCAGCTCAGGGCACAGAGTCACCTCAAGGACGCCCAACGCCATCCCTCGGCCGCAGCCTCCCACCCCAACTCACAGCACTGGCATCGTCCATCTCTTTCTGACGCTTCTCAAAGATCTCGTCATCATCCTTGTCCTTCTCAAACTCCTTCTGGCAGCGGTTGAGCAGCAGTTTGCGGAAGTTCACAGTCACCGTGGGCTTGTCTGTTGTGGGCACTTTGAGCTGCAGGGAGAGGCACAACCCGGGGCAAGCAGCGTGAGCTGCGTCTCCCCCAAAAGCTGGCCAGTGACGGCCCAGGCACTGCTCAAACCGGGGAAAAGCCACCCCGCACCCTCCTGATGCTCTGCTTACACGCTATTCTTGGTCCTCCATCCATACACTCCCGTTTCCCCACCCCACAGAGATTCAAGCACCCAAAGGGCCGCCTGCCAGCTCAGTGGGAGACCTCCCCCCCAGCTCCTGCTCACCCCTGTAAGGCAACGGCACATGTTAGCATAGGCAACAGAGAAGTTTGGCTCCGAGATGGCCTTCTCGAAGACGAGGTCGATGACACCCTTGAGCCGCTCCTCCGTGTCAATGGACAACTCCATCACCTGCTTCATCAGCTGCTGGAACATCTGGGGTGTCAGCTTGTTGAGGATGCTGCGGACGCGGCGGAGCAGGTCCTGCGAGGACAGCAGAGTCAGCGAGAGCCAGGCACGTCTCCTCTCCTGCCCTTCCGGTGCCCACCCGCCCCAGCTCCCACCTGCGTCTTGATGTTCTCAGGATCCTCCTCCTCGGAGGCACGCTTGCTGCTGGGCTTCCAGGCCTTCTCAGCCTTGTTCAGCTTGACATCTTCATTGAGGGACACAGTGGCAATGATTTTGCGGGGCTCCTTCCTCTGGCTCTGCTGGGACCGCCGAGGACCCAACCCTGAGGGCTGACACAGGGAAAACAAACTCAGCTCTGTGCTCCGGGACCAGCTGTGCCGGCTCCCGGGGTGTCCCCATCTGCCTGCTCAGATCCTCAGTTCCATCAGGGACATCAGTGGCCCAGACACAGCGGCTCAAAGGCTTGATCATCACGGAGAGGCAGAAAGGGAGGGCACGGGGTGGAGCGATGGGATACTCACCAGGCTGCGGTTGCCCATGACGGGCCGTCCAAGGTTGGCAAAGGAGGGGGTGAAGTCAGGGCTGCAGTTCATGCCGCTGAGGCGGATGGGGTCGAGCGCCCGCAGTGGGGTCTTGTTGGCCTGAGAAGGTACACAGGGCTGAGGATGCCCGGGGGGCAGAGGAGCGGGACGGATCCATCCCCCAGCCTCAGCGCCGGGACAAGGAACTGGAAAGAAGGCCCCAGAGGTGCCCCCCACCCCAGGCTCAAGGCTCATTGCAGGTGCTGCAACAGAACCCTGAGCACAGTAGGTCAAGTCTCTGCCCTGCCACGACAAGGCAGCAAGAGGAGCCAGCCCCCCACCCTGGCACCACCCACACCGCCCCACTTTCCAGGGCCGCACCGACCTTGTCCAGCACCACATCGGTGATCTGGGGCAGCCCCTCAGGTTTCTGCATGCTGGCAAAGATGAACTGGAAGCCCAGCAGGAACTCTCGGTCATATCGTTTCTTCTCCTCGGGGTTCAGTGGCTTCCACTTTCAGTGGCTTCCATTGCTCTGCAGGGGGGACGACCAGAGGAACACCCTGACATGGCCTGTCCCGTATCCTCACCCCAAGCTTTGACAGGTCCAGGCCCACCCAGGGACCAGTGAGGCAGGATGTACACAGCCACAGAGCTGCCCCAGCCTGGTAGGCCATGAGCACAATCCTGTCTGATGCCATCATAGAATCACAGAATCACAG